GCCAGAGGAGAGCGAGCAGGATATTGAAGGCCTACTGAAAGAAATAATGACAGAAAACTTACCCTACCTGGTAAAAGAAATAGACTTACAAGTTCAGGAAGCATACAAACAAGAGGAATCCAAAGAGGAACACACCAAGACACATCATAATTAAAAAGCCAAGGGCAAAAGAAAGAATCTTACAAGAAGCAGGAGGGGAAAAAAGCTAGTTACCTACAAGGGAGTACCCATACAACTGTCAGCTGATTTCTCAACAGAAACTATGCAGGCCAGAAGGGAGTGGCAAGAAATATTCAAAATGTTGAACAACAAAAACCTACAACCAAGATTACCCAGCAAAGCTATCATTCAGAATTGAAGGCCAGGTAAAGAGCTTCACAGAAAGAAAAAGTTAAAGTTCATCAACACCAAACCAGGATTACATAAAATGCTGAAGGGTATTCTTTTTTTTTTTTTTTTTTTAATGATTTTTTTTACAGCGAGGAAGAGAGAGGAATAGAGAGAAACATCGATGAGAGAGAATCATCGGTCAGCTGCCACTTGCACACCCCCTACTGGGGATATGCCCGCAACCAACGTACATGTCCTTGACCTGAATCAAACCTGGGACGTTTCAATCCACAGGCTGATGCTCTATCCACTGAGCCAAACAGGTTTCGGCTGAAGGGTATTCTTTAAGGAGAGGAAGAAGAAAAAAGTAAAGGTAAAAATTACAAACAACAAAAAGACATAAAATACATATCTACCAACAAGTGAATAAAAAATTTGAAGAACAAATGGACTGGTAAATATAATAGAACCAGGGGCATAGAAAGGGAGTGGACTAACAATTCTCAGGGGAAAGGGAGTCTGAGGGGTGAGGGAAGAGACAAAAATCTTACACCTATGGATGAAGACGAGCGGGGGTAAAGGTATGGGTGGAGTTGGGAATCAGGTGGAGGGGAGCTATGGGGGAAGAGGGGAGAAAGAGAACACCTGTAATAATCTGAACAAAGATTTATTATAAAAAAAAAAAAAGTTTCACCCTGGCCTGTGTTGCGAAGTGAAGGTAGGCCCAAGCACAAAAGGGTTGTGGTGGTCTCCCTCCCTGCACCCCAGGGGCATGTGTGGGAGGCAGCCAATCCATCTGGTGCCCTCACATTGAAGATTCTTCTCCCTCCTTTTCCTCCACTCTCTGGGGGGAAAAAAAAGGCAATGGAAAAATGTCCTCAGGTGAGGATTAAAAATAATTTAAAGCTAAAAGAATGTATACTTAAACATGATTAGTGTTCCAGGAATGTATTTAGAAAAATGTGGGACAGTCCTGTCCTGGCCAGGTGGCTCGGTTGGTGGAGTGTCATCCTGTACACCAAAAGTTCGGATTCGATTCTCAACCAGGTCACATACCTGGGCTGCAGATTCCATCCCCAATTCCCAGTTGCGAGGAGTATGGGGGGCAACTGATGACGGATGGTTCTCACATCGTTCCCCCCCCTCCCTTTCCTTCCTCTTCCCTCCCTCTCTTCCTCTCAAATAAAACATACCCTCCCATGAGGAGGAAAAACAGGCACGTAGTGTCCTTAGAAACCCTGCTTTGTAACCTTCCATGAATGTTCAGAAAAGCCAGTGCCCATGTGGTTTGGAAGGATGTTTGGATACAGATAAGTGAGCTTGATATCTTTCTTGCACAAAATATTTACTGAGTTTTATAGAAGCATGTTTCTTTTTTTCTCTTCTTCTTCTTCTTCTTCTTTCTTCTTTCTTCTTTCTCCTTTCTCCTTTCTCCTTTCTCCTTTCTCCTTTCTCCTTTCTCCTTTCTCCTTTCTCCTTTCTCCTTTCTCCTTTCTCCTTTCTCCTTCTTCTTCTTTCCTAGAAGCATGTTTCTTTTTTTCTTTTCTTCTTCTTCTTCTTCTTCTTCTTCTTCTTATTATTATTATTATTATTATTATTATTATTATTTTGTCTTGTTCTTTGTGTTTATATCATCCTGGAGCTCCTGGCAGGACTGTCCCCAGGGTTTCTGTCAACAGCACTAAATTGCTCACCTGCACATGAAAAGCTATTAGGAACTTGATTAAAAAACAAAACAAAAAACCATCATAAGAATTAGCCCATTTTTCCAGAATAAATACTGAGAGGTTAGAACTAAAGCCAGAAATCTTCATGGAAATAGGCTTATACTTAGAAACTATAGTTAACTCATAAGAAATATCTGAAGAAGCACTAATAAACTGTATGACTTTGTTTTTTCTTTGCTCTAGTTGAGATTATAGACATCCTGCCAAATGTTTCCTACAAAGCCCAGACTTGTCGTACCTTATGGCCTCAAGACGCTGCTCGAGGGAGTTAGCAGAGCCGTCCTCAAGACCAATCCGCCCAACATCACCCAGTTTGCAGCATTTTATTTCAAAGAACTTATTGTGTTTAGAGAAGGCAGGTGTTACCATTTTTAGGTTGGAATAGATGATATTTACTTACATAAAAACATCCTATAGTTCTAGTTTTCCAATTCATTGAGTTAAACTTTATACATAGTTTCTTTAAATTGAGGAATACATTTATTAATATGATGGATATATTGTAGACTAGAGGCCTGGTGCACGAAATTTGTGCACTTGGAGAGTCCCTCAGCCCGGCCTGCACCCTCTCACAGTCTAGGAGCCCTCAGGATGCCTGACTGATGACTTAGGCCCGCTTGCGGGGAGTGGGCCTAAGCTGTCAGTCACCCATTCTTGGCGCTGCCCCAGAGGCCAGAGCGGCTCCTGCCACCGCCTCAGCGTTCGCCCCATGGCAGAGCTCCTGCATTGAGCATCTGCCCCCAGAGGGCCAGTGCGTGTCATAGTGACTGGTCATTCTGCCATTCAGTTGATTTGCATATTAGCCTTTTATTATATAGGATTATATATATATTTCTGTAAAAAAGCATTTAAGTTGGGAATTTTTTGTTTCTGATTTTCTGTGTTTATTCCTTCAGGGAATGTTCCTCTGGATATAAAAGATCTGGTTAGACAATTTCATCAGATTAAATGTAAGTACCACAAGTGGTAAATAGCACAATAATATTAGTTGTAAGTTATTGAATCAGCAATAGCACACATTCAAACTTAAGATTCCCACAAATGTTTTCTCTTTAAATAATCGTACTTTATGTTTAAATAAACTGATGGTTTATTTTTTATTATTGGATCAAGTTTATTTTTTTATTATTTTTTATTTTTTATATATTTTATTGATTTTTTTACAGAGAGGAAGGGAAAGGGATAGAGAGTTAGAAACATCGATGAGAGAGAAACATCGATGAGAGAAACATCCATCAGCTGTCTCCTGCACATCCCGTACTGGGGATGTGCCCTCAACCAAGGTACATGCCCTTGACCGGAATCGAACCTGGGACCCTTCAGTCCACAGGCCGACACTCTATCCACTGAGCCAAATCAGTTTTGGCTGATCAGATTTATTTTTTAAATCTAGGACTGACATTTTGGAAAGTTCTCAATCTTAAAAGGGCAAAAGTAGGAAATGTATTGCAAGCCGTTTGCTGCGGTGAGACTTAGAACAGTGCTGAGCTAGGACCCATACCCTCCGGCAGGTGCCACGGCCCTCGTGAGGGCACAGCGAGGGCGAAGGGAACTGGTTTTGGAGGAAAAGATGGCTCCACTGAGCACACAGGGAAGCTGCCTCACTGCTTTCTGTGGCCAATTCTTTAGATCCTTTTATAAAGAAAATCTAAACTCTCCTCCTTCCCCCCAGTGGTTTAACTGCAGTCCGGGCTGGAAGACAATTAGGAAACAAACTGGCTGTCACTGGCCATCTTTCCTGGCTGTCCTAAGTCTTAAGATAACGAGTTCTGCAAACATGCACTGGGAAGATGATCGGAGAGGTTTCGTTCCAATATCAGGGACAGGCTTTCCCGGAAAAGGAAGTAGTTACCGCGCGGCTGATCACTCAGGCGTGTGGTGACAGCAGAAACACCTTATAGTTGTGCAGCTGTAGGAGTTCCTAGGTCATCAGCGGCCTTGACCTTCCTGGAATTTCCCTCATGCTGAGGGTTCCCAGTCCACACCAGGGATCCAGAAATCTCTTGCTCCTTTTTGTCTGGGTCAGGAGGACTGGCTGCATTACCCCAGCTCACCAGCAGAGGCTGCTGTTTTAGGTTGGAAGAGCTGCTGTTTCCTATAGAAACACATCCTGTAGCCTCAGGTTTCCAGTTCATTAAGTTAAACCTTCTACGCAGCTTCTTTAACCTGAGGAGTACCTTTCTTATTATGGGCAGCATTGGAGGCATTCCATAAACCAGCGGATGCCGGGTGTGACTGGCCAGGGAAGTCTACTCCCTCCCTCGTTTCCTGTGGCAGTTGGATCAGCCTCTGAGGCTTCGGCTCCTGCGTTTCCAGGCAGAGGGAGTGCTTTCCTTCGGTGCTGACAGCTGACAGCCACTGGTGGTTTTGTCGTGTGCTGCCTGAGTCGCTCGCTTCTCAGGAGAGGCCGAGGGCGAGTTGGAGTGGGCAGAGCAGGCAGTCATGTAATCTTGACTCAGTCGCGGATGCCATAAAATCAGAGCTCCTGGTACTCATGCTGATAGTATTGAACGTGTGAGTGTTGAGCCTGTCGCTGCTGCTTTAATGTGTGTTGTCTGGGGGATGTATGCTCACTAACCCCGGTTGCTGTTTCAGTTGAGAAATGGTGCGAAGAAAGGACAGAAGAGAAGAAGCCAGAGTTCATCAAAGAACCAGGAGTAGCAGCTGCTGTTCCCAAAGAGCCGACCCGGGTGGAGAAGTCCACTGACACGGAGGAGGACCACATCGCCACCCCCCAGTTCATCCACAAGACCACGCAGTTCCCGTCGGTGTACGCCGAGCAGCAGTCCGAGGCGGAGGACACAAGCAAGGCAGTCCGTCCTTCCAAACCATGCACCCCCAAGAGTACCCCCACCTCGTCACCAGCCCCGGCCGACACCCCACCAGAGTTTGCCTATGTTCCCGCCGATCCAGCTCAGTTTGCTGCTCAGATGTTAGGTAACGTTTCGTCTAATCATTCTGATCAGTCTGACGTTTTAATGGTGGATGTGGCAACGAGTTTGCCTGTTTTTTCCGACGAGGTGCTGAGTTCAGAGGTTTCTGAAGACATGCTGGTGACCGCTTCTGTTACACATACTGGAGAGGGGGTAGCAGTGCAGTTGGCAAGCCACTCCTCTGTCCCTGTAGCTTTGGGGTTTAAATCTGCAGACCATCAGGCTGAACCAGCAATGGCTCCCTCAGTCCCCTTGCAGGATGAACAAGACCTTCCTGCCTTTGATCAAGCTCCTCGGGGGTCCTGGCAGGCTGGCACTGGGGGGAAGGCCATCCCTCATATCTCATCTATCTTTAACGACAAGCCTGTGATTGAAGCAGTTACTCACATGGAGCAAACATCAGAACAAGTAGTTATTGCTTTTTCCGATCACATTACTAGCGTTAAAGAGATTGAGCAGTCACCAACAGATAGTGCCATTCTTGTACACAAGAAAGTCTCGGTCGGGTCTGAAACAGCTGAAGTTACTCAGGTGGAGCAAACATCAGAAGAAGTAGTTACCGCTTTTTCCGATCACATTACTAGCGTTAAAGAGACTGAGCAGTCACCAACAGATAGTGCCATTCTTGTACACAAGAAAGTCTCGGTCGGGTCTGAAACAGCTGAAGTTACTCAGGTGGAGCAAACATCAGAACAGGTAGTTACCGCTTTTTCCGATCACATTACTAGCGTTAAAGAGATTGAGCAGTCACCAACAGATAGTGCCATTCTTGTACACAAGAAAGTCTCTGTTGGGTCTGAAACAGCTGAAGTTACTCAGGTGGAGCAAACATCAGAAGAAGTAGTTACCGCTTTTTCCGATCACATTACTAGCGTTAAAGAGATTGAGCAGTCACCAACAGATAGTGCCGTTCTTGTACACAAGAGAGTCTCGGTCGGGTCTGAAACAGCTGAAGTTACTCAGGTGGAGCAAACATCAGAAGAAGTAGTTACCGCTTTTTCCGATCACATTACTAGCGTTAAAGAGATTGAGCAGTCACCAACAGATAGTGCCGTTCTTGTACACAAGAGAGTCTCAGTCGGGTCTGAAACAGCTGAAGTTACTCAGGTGGAGCAAACATCAGAAGAAGTAGTTACCGCTTTTTCTGATCACATTACTAGCGTTAAAGAGATTGAGCAGTCACCAACAGATAGTGCCATTCTTGTACACAAGAAAGTCTCTGTTGGGTCTGAAACAGCTGAAGTTACTCAGGTGGAGCAAACATCAGAAGAAGTAGTTACCGCTTTTTCCGATCACATTACTAGCGTTAAAGAGATTGAGCAGTCACCAACAGATAGTGCCGTTCTTGTACACAAGAGAGTCTCAGTCGGGTCTGAAACAGCTGAAGTTACTCAGGTGGAGCAAACATCAGAAGAAGTAGTTACCGCTTTTTCCGATCACATTACTAGCGTTAAAGAGATTGAGCAGTCACCAACAGATAGTGCCATTCTTGTACACAGGAGAGTCTCGGTCGGGTCTGAAACAGCTGAAGTTACTCAGGTGGAGCAAACATCAGAAGAAGTAGTTACCGCTTTTTCCGATCACATTACTAGCGTTAAAGAGATTGAGCAGTCACCAACAGATAGTGCCGTTCTTGTACACAAGAGAGTCTCTGGCGGGTCTGAAACAGCTGCAGGTCCTGCAGAGCTTGCCCCCACCCCCGTGGAGGAAGCAAACTATCCCTCAGTCCAGGTGGAGGAAGCAAACTATCCCTCAGACCAGGAGGAGGAAGCAAACTATCCCTCATTCCTGGTGGAGGCTGCAAACGAATCCTCAGTGCAGGTGGAGGGAGCAGAGTATCCCTCAGTCCAGGTGGAGGCAGAAGCAACCATTCTGGTCTCCGAAACCACTCTGAAAAGCCTGCTTGCACATTCCCGGAACTCAGAGGGCTCCACCACAGGCTCTGAGAGATCTCTGCATATTGAAGTGGAGATCATTGGGATAGAGCCCAGGCAGGAGGAGGACTCCGCCCCTCCTGAGGCAGAGGTTAGACTTGTGGGCTCTGGGGAAGCTGCCCGAGCCCTGCAGGAGGAAGACTCGGCCCCCCCTGAGGCAGAGGAGGCAGAGGTCAGACCTGTGGGCTCTGGGGAAGCTGCCGAAGCCGTGCTCTCAGGTGCCTCAGTAACGTCACCTGGTGGCACCCCCAGTCCTGCAACAGAGGGTCTCACGGGACCAAAGGCCGAACCCGAAGGGGAAGCAGCACCTGCACCAGGTTTGACGGAGCCAGGTAAGATGTAGATACTTAAGTTAGACGTTGCGTCAAGTAGGGTGCAGGTGGCGTCGTACTTCAGGTAACCGTCTAGGAGGGCCCACCCCTGCAGATCGGTCAGACTTCACTTTAGGTACCTTTTACAATGCCACGCCCACGGACAGGCACTGCTGTTGTGGAGACATTCCTCTTCGGAGCAGTTTTGGAGGGACGTGAAGCCATCCTGAGCGTGGTCCTCAGCACTGCGTGGCCTCAGACTGGAGTGGACCGGAGCTCGGAGGGTAAGGTCCCACGGCAGCCGTGGCTTCCCTGGGCTGTGGCATCACACGTGAAGACATGGTGGTGTGTTCGCCTCTGCTCTCGCCCGTGTCTGAGACTCTGCAGCCAGGCGGGGGAGCTGGACCGAGCCTGGTTCTCCTGCCGTGGAGGGAAGACGGGTCAGGTCGGCTCTGTCCCCAGGGAGCAGGAGGCGCGGCAGCTGAAGGACAGGTGGCACTGAGCCACGGGCACGGCTCCCTCTCGGCGTCCTCAGAGCCACTGCTTCCCTGGACACAGACAGCCTGACCACCAGCTCTCTGACGGTGCTTTGGGCCTGCTCCCTCCTGCCCGTCCGCACGCGGTCAGGGCCCGTCTCCCTGTGGGCTGGACGGGACAAGCAGGGCCAGCCTCTCCATGCCTTCTGCAGACTCTCAACGTTGACTCTTACCAGAGCCAAACGATCGTTTACAAAGCAGGTGTTTAGAGGTCAAATTGTGTCTGGCAGCGTGACAGGACTCTGTGCAGCTGGGAGGCAGCGGCCAGGGCTGCAGTGGCGGTTGGAGGCGGCGCACCTTTGGCGCGAGCAGCTCCACACCGAGCCGCTGCTCTGGGCGCCGGGCTTTCCCCGTGAGCACCGAGGCTCTTGAACAAAGCATGAGGTCATGGCTGAGGCATGCTTTAAAGGAGCTCTGAGGAATGGCCAAGTGCCGGGAGCTGTGGGAGACACACAGCGTGGCCCTGAGCGCAGTGATGGTGGCTTCTCCTCTGGGGAAGAGAAGCTGCACCAGGGACATGGCCAGTGCCCACAGGGGAGCTTGCACACTGGGCCGGGCAGCACTCCCCGGAGCCTCCCTCCCCCGCTCCCTGGACTCAGCACTGCCTGCCATCGGCAAGTGGACCCCATTAGCGAGTCCTTGGCAGAAGCAGGTGGACAGCACACCCAGACTTACTTCCTCAAAGAACCCTGTGGGACCGACCAGCCTTAAGCCACTGAGGACCTGGGGTTCAGGCCGTGCTTAAAAGGGGTGCCCCCGGGGTCTCAGTCGTAGGGTGTGTGGTGACAAGTTAATGGGAGAGTCGGTGCCAGTGATGAGAGAGAACCATGGATCGGCTGCCTCCTGCACACCCCACATGGGATGGAGCCCCACCCCCTGGCATGTGCCCTCACTGGGAATTGAACTGTGACTTCCTGGCTCATAGGCTGATGTGCAACCACTGAGCCACATGGCTCAGATTTAAAAAAAAATATATATATATATATTTTATTGATTTTTTTACAGAGAGAGGGACAGAGAGTTAGAAACATAGATGAGAGAGAAACATTGATCAGCTGCCTCCTGCATACCCTCTAATGGGGATGTGCCCGCAACCAAGGTACATGCCCTTGAATGGAATCAAACCTGGGATCTTTCAGTCCATAGGCCGACGCTCTATCCACTGAGCCAAACCGGTTTCGGCATGGCTCAGATTTTTTTAGTCAAGAAAAAATTACTGTGCAGATGCAGTCCTCCTTTCTCAGTGGCTTAACCCAGCGTCCTGTGGATCCTCTTGGTCCATTTCCCCTCGAGGGCCCCGAGGCAGCCACATCTGCAGCTGAAGCCCCGGAAACAGCCACTTTCCCCACAGTGGTGCCCCTGCGCCCGCCCAGCCATGCTCTGCCTCCCACCGTGGAGACTCCCTTCCCGCTGCCAGACACAATTACGGAGCCCTCTCTCTAGCATGCCTTATAGCACGTTACTACAGCTGTTCCTCTATACGTGAATGTTTACAGATCGTTCTGTGCATAGCGCCTGATACAGAGACTGGACCTTAATGCCTGCACGTTTTTGTTTTATAGCGATAGCAACAAGCGAAGCAGGACAGCCACCACCATATTCTAACACGTGGACCCTTTACTGTCTGACCGATATGAATCAGCCCAGCCGCCCGTCACCACCACCTGCGCCCGGGCCCTTCCCCCAGGCCACCCTGTATTTGCCCAATGCTAAGGATCTGCAGAACCCACCGCAAGTCACTTCTCCAACGTATGTGATGATGGACGACAGCAAGAAGGCCGGGGCCCCACCCTTTATCCTAGTGGGCGCCAATGTCCCGGAAGCGCAGGACTGGAAGCCGCTTCCCGGGCACACGGTCGTGTCCCAGTCAGATACCCTGAAGAGATACACGACCGTCCAAGTGCCCATTGCCGTTCCTGCAGATCAGAAATTCCAGAAACTCCCCCGACATGCCCAGAGTGCCAGTCCTCCTTCCAGTGGGCAAGAAGGGCCCCGGCCACAGAGCCCCGTTTTCCTTTCTCTCGCTATCCCGGTAGAAGATGTAGCCAAAAAGTGTTCAGGATCTGGGGACAAGCGTACCCCCTTTGGAAGTTACGGTATTGCTGGAGAGATAACCCTGACTACTGCCAATGTCCGCAGAGCAGAACCCTAATGCCGCAGGTAATCCCCACGGCGGGCGCCACACACTCAGTCTCAGCATCTTCTGTGTCGACCTGGAGACTGAGAAGTCTTAAAAAAGGAATTGAATTGAGATGTGCTGAGTGGTGGAGATTGTCTGACTTGGTGAGATTGTCTCCACTGATGGGCACAACCGTGCACGGGGCTGGGCACGGCACTCTGAGTGCCTGTCAGTGTGTGTAGCTCCCGTGGAAGGCGCTCCAGGAGGGCATGGGTGGCTTTTCAAAGGACACCCTTCACTGGGACTCTCTGATGGGTGTGGTTCAGGGTGGGGACCAGCTCGGAACAGCTGGAGAGCCAGCAGGCTGGGAGGTGTGAGGGAGTGCCGCCGCCGGCCGGCCGGTGTGGTCAAGGTGGTTCCCTCGGAGAGGAAGTCACAGCAGAGGACCGGGGAGCTCTCCCCCCACGAGAGTAGTAAAGAGCAGCATGACCGGGGATCCGGTGCCCAGGCACCATCCAGGCTCCCCGTCGGGCCTGAGGCTGAGGGAGCCAGCCTGCAGAGGCCGTGGCCGAGACTTCGCGCTGGAAAGCGACGGAGGATCCGCCCTGCAAGGGCCCAGGAGATGGCTGGTCACGGGAAAACAGGAGCTTCAAGGCACCACAGTTAGGGCCCCACACCCCGCAAGGAGGTCTGGATGGAAGGAGGAGCCAGCAATGATAGGCCCGCTGGCTGCCGCGTGGGGAAGGGTGACCCCAGGAGGCGGCACAGACGCAGGGAGTGAGGGTGCCTGTTACAGGGTCACACCCGAACCCCACGAGCTCAGGGACAGCTTGCAGTGGTCTCAGGCTCAGCACCTGATGGACTAAAGCTGGGTTCCCTCTGGTCCGGAGCTGCAGTTCCTGTGTGTAAGGAGAGAGTTACCGTTACTAAACAGCCTGAGGCGGTGTGCATGGGATTGTCCGATTCTGCTAAAAGGCAGTGTTTTCACGTGGAATGCGAGGCTAGTGAGTGCAGATGCAGGGAAACGGGTTGGGTTAAGCGCTCAGTGATGGGTGCACCTTGCATTTCTGACCTCTCGTGTGAGATGTTCAGGTTCCTGGTTGACCTTAAACATTCACTCCTGACATCATTCCTCACAGATGCTGAAAACCAGGCTGGCTGAGTCTACGTCCCAGGTGGAGTGTGCCACCACGTGTAATGTATCAATAAACTTCATGCAGCATAACGCCCGTGCTCTCGCCCCTTTGTCCTTCAGGCCCATACAGGCAGCGGACAGAGCTCACATGGACATTGCAAAGATGCTCGCCCAGCATGTTCCCAGTGCTGAGCCTGAGACCACTGCAGGCTGTCCCCGAGAGCCCGGCTCAGTGCTGGTGGCTCTCTGGCCCCGGCTGCAGCCCCACCAGGACTGCTTGTAAGGATGTTCTTTCAAAAACTGGTGATTGCTTTTTTTTTTTTTTAGAGAGGAAAGGGAGAGAGAAACATGCCCCAACCGGAATCGAAACAGTGACCTCTTGGTGAATGGTCAGCACTCAGCCACTGGGTCACACTGACTGGGCTGTAAGGACGTTCCTTAAAAATATATTTTATTGATTTCAGGGAGGGAGGGAGGGGGGAGGGAGGGAGTGATAGAGAGAGAAAACATCAGTGATGAAAAAGAATCATTGATTGGCTGCCTCCTACACACCCCACACTGGGATTCGAGCCCCCAACGTGGGCATGTGCCCTGACCAGGTGCGTGTGACCAGAAGTCAGTGCTCAGCACTCAGCCATGCTGGCCGGGCTCGTTATCATTTGGGGCCGTGCCTTCCTTACCCCAGGGCATGCATTGCAGTCCCTTCTGGTGAATTCTGTCAGCTCCCTGATCGGAGGCACCTCCTCTAGCCACTTAATCCAAAGTAGCCACTTAATCCAAAGTAGGGGTGTCGAACTCAATCAGAGAAGGGGCCAAAATCTAAAATCCAGCCTAAATCGTGGGCCGAATGGTTTACTGAACAGTCATAAACTGTCATTGTGATGGAAACGCAGCGGAGTGCAGTGATGACAGCGCGGTGCAGGCCACATTGCAAGGCCTGGCGGGACGGATTTGGCCCTCGGGCCTTGTGTTTGACACATGTGCTCCAAAGGCTGCTTCTCCCCTCTGGCCTCAAGTCCCAACTGCTACGCAGTCCCCTCCCTCTCGGGCCTTTCAAACTGCTCCAGTAACAAGGAATGTAAAGCAGTGCCCAGCAAGCAGCCTCTAAGCAAAGACAGCAGACCCAGCTCCTGGCACAGAGCACTTTGCTTACCACAGAGCACGGTGTTAAAGAGCCAGACTCAACCAAGTACATTTGAAGATGTAATTGGCTTTATTGAGGGATTCATGCATTGAGTGGCAGCCCGTCTAACAACTAGGAGGTGTGTTCTGAGCACAGTGCACACTGGGTGTCAGAACTACGTGGCCCGTGGGAGCAGGGCCGGTCAGGCATCGGGAGTGAAGCTTAGAAACAAGAGCCAGGACAGTGGCTCCATGGGGGAACCTGAGGGGAGCTGACAGCTGGCACGGCTTTGCGGGGGGGGGGGGGGGGGGGGGGGGGGGGGGAAGCTTACAGGGGCAGGAAACTCCCTTCCCTCCGGGTCTTCGGCTGATTAAATTGACCCACAGGAGAGCACACTGCACATACCGGAGCCCCATGCAGCTCCGGGCGCTCAGGCTCACCTGCCACCTGAGCCAGATCGGGGCTGGGCCCGGGCTTCAGTGGAGGGAGACGGTTCTCAGGAAGATGGGCGAGCAGATGCTTATGGTGGTGAGCGATGGTGCCAGGCGTGCAGGCGAGTGTCTGCTCTGAGAAGCTGCCTCCACAGCAGCTCTTTCCTGGAGAGGCCTCGATCCGAGCTCGGGGTTCAGGGGGAGGGGAAGCACTGAGTCTGCGAGGCCTGGGTTCTCTTCACAATGCTGTCCATGCCACGTGGCCCCACTTGTGGTGTGTGCTGCCCCTCACCTGCACGGTGAGGCCGGTGCCAGGCGGTTTGACGGTGAGGCAGCGGCCTGCCAGTCCGGGACGTCCAGGGACGGCAGAGCCCTGCACAGCTGATGGTGATGGAGAAAAGCGGGTGTATTGATGACGCATAGAGCTAAGGGCCAACGGGGGACCGGTGCCTTCTGGGAAAAGCCATGACAGAAGGGATTGATTGGAAACAACAAAGAGGCCCACTGTCCTGCCCCCGCCCTGGAGATGGTGCTGCATAGGCAGTGTGTGTGCAGGTGCAGCCGCCTCTCTGCCCCCTCCGCCTCTTCCCAAGGAAGACAAAGTCATTGCAACTAGCGGCCCCTGCGGCTCAGGGGTTAAGCATCAGCCTATGAACCAGGAGGTCACAGTTCGATTCCCGGTCAGGTCAGGGCACGGGCCTAGGTTGCAGACTCGATCCCCAGTGTGGGGTGTGCAGGAGGCAGCTGATCCATGATTCTCATCATTGATGTTTCTCTTTCCCTCTCCCTTCCTCTCTGAAGTCAGTGCAAAAATATACAAATAATAATGGCAACTTATCCTTTTCCAACCTAGCACCCTAGGAAAACCACAGGCTAGCTGCTCCTCCCCTAACCCCTGACAGTGCCCAGGCCTGCCCCGGCCAGGCCAGATCCCCAGCCTGCCTCTGATCCTGCTGTGCCTCCCCTGCGGGCTGGAGTTAGCCTGCAGATCCTCCCCCTGGCCAGCCCCGCCCCTGATCGCTCCCCACCCCAATAGGGGGTGGGGCCAGCCAGCCAACCTCCTGCCATCTCTTCCTCCAGGCAGGCCCAGCCCTGATCCACCCCGGTTGGGGCCCGGCTGGCCGGACCCCACCCGAGCTCGAATTCACACACTGGTGAGTTAATCCCCCACCTTACCAATTTATCTGGACTTGCCTGATGACATCTGACCTACTTTTCAGCATTCCGGGCAGCGATGAATCAAAGCCCTTCCAGTTTCGGTCCATAAAGTCGTCCTCTGGACAAATGGACAAATGGGACAAGCTTTAGTGCCTCCTCACGCACTCGGAAGGCTCACGGCACCAGGGGAGTGTTTGTAACATGCAGCGCATGAAAGAGCATGCTGGGTGTTTCAGGCTTAAGTCATAACAGGGACACCGCATCAGGCACTGCGGTCGATGGGGAGGGTGTCGGTCGGGGAAGAGATGTCATGTCGGGAGGTGGGAGGGGAGCAGGTAGAGAGCGCTGTGGGCTCCTGAGAGTCTGGGAAGCAGCAGACAAGAGTCGGAGGCGGACCCAGGCTGCAGCAGCGCAGAGTGTCTGACCAGTGCATTGTGGTGTGAGGTCCGTCCGCCCGGTCCTGTGTCAGTGGGTCAGCCCGGCCTGGGCCTGGGCACTGGAAGGCGAAGCCCTGTCTGTCCGCCCGGAGCTTCCACTCCGCGATGGCTCCTCCTGGTGGACAGGGATGACCTGAGCACGCTCCGCCTGCACAGCTGCAACGCTGCCTGCTCCTGAGCTCGGAGAAGACGTGGGGGAAATAGCGTTTCCAGAGTTCACGTCTGCCTGACATTTCTTACAACGGAGTAGGATGGGCTTGGGACACGAGGGGAGTTGCTTTGTTCTAGAACAGTGTTTCCCAAACTTCTCTCATGATGAGGATCACCTGGTGGAGTTGTTAAAATACAGATTCCTGAATTTCAACTAAGAAGTGCTAAACTAGCCAAAATCGGTTTGGCTCAGTGGATAGAGCGTCAGCCTGCAGACTGAAAAGTCCCGGGTTCAATTCTGGTCAAGGGCATGTACCTTGGTTGTGGGCACATCCCCAGTAGGGGTGTGCAAGAGGCAGCTGATTGATGATTCTCTCTCATTGATATTTCTAACTATCCCTCTCTCTTCCTCTCTGTAAAATGTCAATAAAATATATATTTTTTAAATGAAGTGCTAAATTAGAATTTTTGGGAACATATAGGTAAAATTGTATACTTAACTTAGTGCTCTTAGAGCAAAAATTCTAGTTTAGCATTTCTTAGTTGGGATTCAGGAATCTGTATTTTAACAACTCCACCAGGTGATTCTCATCATGAGAGAAGTTTGGGAAACACTGTTCTAGAACAGCACTGTCCAGCAAGGTGACTGCTGTCCGCGTGTGGCTGTTTAAAACAAACTATCAATAGTTACAATGAGGTGGAATGAGAAAACCCTGCAGGCAGATGTCGAGCTCAGCGGGCACGTGTGCCTCGTGAGGACGGCAGTGGACAGGCGAGGCTGCAGGATGTCCCTCGGGACGGGAAGTCCCACCGAGCAGCAGCTCCACACACCTGCCCTGGTGGCTGGTGACAGCGCCAGAGACACCTTCCTCACGGGGACGCCCGTGAATTTGGGGTGACGCCTGTGGGAACCGTGCACTCAGCTGTCCGCATGAACAGAGGGGCCTTCGGAGGGAGAGCAACCGAGGAGCAGAGGATCCCTGGTGCAGGGAGAAGCCACGCCGTGCGGTGAGGAGACAGCGGCGTCTATGGGGACGGGAGGGGGCAGTGACCCAATGGGAGGAGGGCGGGTCCCCTGGTCAGATGGCAACAGCGATGTTACTTCTGAACAGTGTTTGACTTCCAGCCCAGTAGTCAGAATAACTGCTTTCCTGTGATGTTTGGGATACAATGTTGTTCTAGGTCCAGGCCAAAAGTTATTTTACTCTATTTTATTTTAATTTTCTTAAAAAATATATTTTTTTATTGATTTCAGAGAGGGAGAGGGAGAGAGAAACATCAATGATGAGAATCACGGATCAGCTGCCTCCTGCACACCCCACCCTGGGGATTGAACCCGCAACCTGGGCACTTGCCCTGAACGGGAATCAAACCGTGACCTCCTGGTTCAGAGGTTGCCACTCAACCATTAAGTCATGCCGGCCGAGATTATGGTACTCTATTATTATTATTATTATTATTATTATTATTATTATTATTCAGTGGACTAGAGTGCACTGTGAGGTCCCTCTGGGTGGCCTGCAGGGATCGGGCTGAAGCCTGCAGCTCAGCACCACCTGTAGCTCCTACCTGCTGCCCCTGCTCATCCCGGCCCCACTGTGCCTGCCGCAGGCTCGTGCCCAATCAGACCCGATTGGGAGAGGCTTGTGCTGCAGCAGCGCTCGCCAGCCATGAGCCCTGTGTCTGGCTCCCTCCCCAGGGGAGTGGCCTGTGGGGTCAGGCTGAAACCAGCTCTCCAACATTCCCCGAGAGAGTGGTGCCCAGATTGCCAGAGGGTGTAGGCCAGGCTGA